GGGTTAGCATTTACTTTAATACTGTTTTTACAATAAAACTCAGTACTACTTTTTTAAAGATTTATTTGAGAAAGAGAGAGACAGGGAACGAATGGGAGGGGCAGAGGGAGAGGGAAAGACAGAGAATCTCAAGACTCTGAGTTGAGTGCGAAGCCTGATGTGGGGATCGGCCTCATGACCCTGAGATCACAACCTGAGCCAAACCAAGAGTTGGATGCTTCTTAACCGACTGAGCCATCCAGGTGCCCAAAAAGTAAGTACTACTTTTTTAAAAAGTAAAGAGATGATATGCCTAGGAGCTGACCCAGCTTCTCATGACATCTGTGGGGACCACTGGGATCTTCATCTCTTGCTTGGATGACAAAAGTCATAACTTCTTCTTGGGATTCCATCTGCTGCCTCTGCCTGTTCTCACCACAGCAGCCAGATCGCTAATTTGGACATACATGTCAGGTACCGACTCCTCTGCTCAGCACCCTGCAGTGGCTCCCCATTTCACCCAGTGACAGTGCCTGGAAGATCCCGGTGATCTATTCCCCGTGCCATGTCTGAAGGCCCTGCCCTCCCTCACTCCAGCTACCCTGCCTGGGACCCTTCCCCTACGAGGCTGGATGTACTCACTCCTTAGGACCTCTGCATCCCCACTGCCAGGAATGGGCTTCCCCCACACCTCTCCTACCCTCTTTCTCTCACCTCCTTCAAATTTTCTGCCCAGATGCTACTTTGTCAATTAGGTTAGCCTGGACCACCATGTGATGTCTCATCCTCTACCACACTCCCCCACCACCACCACCGTGGTCTTCAGATCTCCCTTTCCCTCCTCTGTTTTTCTGTTTTCCATCACCTGTATCCCCTTCAACCACACTGTATTGTTTATTACGTTCATTGTTCTTTTTCTGTATCCCCATATTAGAATGTAACCTGCATATGGGCAGGGACTTTTGCTCTGCTCTGTTCATTGATAGACTTAATATGTACCTGGCATATAGGTTCTTAGGATATACATGTTGAATGAAATTGTTACAGATGATTTGAATAAGATGAAGACTTGTTGGGAGCTCCAGGAAGAAGGCAAAGAGCAAGCCGAGGCCCAGGCTGGGTTGGGGGGAATAATCAACCCTCTACAGAGTCTAGATCCAGAGGCTTTGGGGACATGGTACATTTGAAGTCATGGTCTAGGGGGACATCTAGTTCCAAAGCTAGATGCAAGGCTGGAGTGGGGGCGGCAGGTCATTTCCAGACTCTACTGCCCAGTTGGGAGGAGAGTTGCTGCATTCGCCCATGGTTTGTCCGCAAGTGGCTGGCCACTCTGGTCCACAGAGGGTGGGGTCTAGAGCTGACCTGGGATGCCTGTCAGTGGTACTTACCGACCAGAGCAGGCCTCCATCTCCCTCACGGGACAGATGCCAGAAGGTGCTGTTCTCAGCCGGTCACAAAAAGGACCAAGGCCTTACTGCACAGATCTCCTCATTGTAAAAACAAAACAAAACAAAACAAAAAACCAAAAACAGGTGGGCATGAAAATCATGAAATTTGGAAGCTTTGTTAATTAGGTCAAAGGACACTGGTTTTATTTGCCCTCCCAAGAAAAAATGCATCCCCAGTCAGCTGCTGGGTTTGAAGGAACAGAATGGAGGCAGGCAGGAGCGGGAGAGGTAAACGATGTGTCATTTCACTGGAACCAGGTAGATTAAGTAACCTTGGTCAGTAAGCATGCCCCGAGAGTTTGATGGTAATTGATTTTCAGCGAAATAGTGACATTTTAGTTGCATCTCTTCTCAAAGAGCAATGAATGGCATAGGAATTCTCTGTGCACTTTTTCCAAAAAAGGGCACACTTCCTTCCTTTCATGAACTTCCTTCCTTCCTTCCTTCCTTCCTTCCTTCCTTCCTTCCTTCCTTCCTTCCTTCCTTCCTATGAACATTGCTTCTGGTCAGTGCTTCTCCCTGCCCACCATGTGTTTGTTGCTGACATATTTGCTCATTTTTGAAGGCACAGTCCATTATGGTGATATAGTCAAGTGATGTCCACTTGGGTAAATCCCAACTTGTCAAAACTATCTTGCCTCTTTTCTCCCTCGAGGCTTAATAGACAATGTGTCCAGAATTTGACACCTCTCACGACATCTATGGCTGCTGTTCTGGCCCAAATTGGCACCATCTCTACCCTGGTCACTGTCAAGGGCCACAGCTGGTTTTCCATCTACCACACTGACCCCTCCAGTCTACTCTCAACACAACAGCCAGAGTGCTCCCGGCCGAGCACAGCAGTCCTTCTGATCGAGGCCTGCCTAACCACCCCCATGGATGGTTGTCTATCAGTGGCTCAACCTCCTGGGACAGGATTCAAGTGTGTCCGAAAATACCTCCAGAGACTTGATCTTCCCCATAAATTGTTCAGGAGCACTGCCGCTTCCTGCACAGTTTGAAGGTAGAGAACACAGAGGTGTGTCAGAAAGGGCTGCCAGACACTGCCCTAATCAGAAAAGGAAAGTGTCACATCGCCAGTGTAGACGCAGAACATCCAATTTTATTTTTATAATGTGAGTTATTGTCTTGTGTGTTTGTGAGTCACTGAGGGTCGGCTCCGCTTGGATGTTGCCAACGCCTCCGCAGTGGCCTCTGACCTTTGTGGGTTTGGGTTGGTTCTGGCTCGAGGCGAGGGTGAGCAGGCTCCAAACTTTGCACTTGATGGTGGTGTGTTACTCATTGCACTGGGGAGACAGATATTCCTGCTGGCTTCTCAGACTGATCCCAAAGTAAGGCTAAGGTGGAATCATCTAGCTTTCTTTGCAATTCTATTGAAAAGGTAAGACAGTAGATCCTCTTACCCTATGAAAGGCTCATCGAAACTACACCTCATGCTACGGGAAACCACACACCCTTTTATCTCAACTTATTAAAACACTGTGTAAAGCGAAACTTTGTACCTCTCGGGGCAGCATGGCTTTATTTGACACTAGAAACCCACTTGAAATAGTGGTAAGAGCATGGACCAAAGAGAAGCAGCTCAGCTCCTGGAGCGCCTACGTTTGTAACGCATGATGGGGAGAGAGATCTGACAATAGACTTGAAGGCTTTTAATTATAATGGAAACTTCAAGACTTGTCTACGTTTCTTTGTTTGTGGAGTATTTTCTGCAGGTTCTCTGGAGTGACAGTCACGTTCACCTGCATCTCTTCATCAGGACTGCCCTGGCTTGCCGGCTGTTGGCTGGATCCCCAGGTACTTTCAGGGCAAGGACTGTTGTGTTAAAACCACCTGCCATCTGTTGGTGAAAATTTTTTGGATTCTAAATGATGAGTCACTTATTTCTCCTGCTGTTCCTTCTGCTGCCAGGACTAATTTACCTCTTGGACTGTAACAGGGGATATGCTGGGAAAACTGGTTCTGAAGCTTTGTCCTATGCAAAGTTCACATCCCTAATGACCATGCTTCCCGGTGCCATCACTGGAAAGGTGGACTTGCCTTTGCATTTCCACAAGACGGCGAGGAGACAGCAACAGTGTATCTGACCCTCACTCCAGGGTCCTTCACGGGTAAAGCTACAGCCACCAACTTCAGTCGCCTTGAGGTTGAGAGTCCCAAAGCAGTTCCACATTTCCTTGCCAATGCCAGTCACCTGTGAGTGACACAGGAAAGATCCTCAGTGACCACTGGTTCAATGAATGAGGTCTGTGACTACAGAGTGGTCACCCAAGGCCACCAGGGGTAGTGCGCTGGGCCCAGGTTAGCCCATCAGGCCAGGGTGGCCATGTGGCAGTGCCACCTGTAGAGCCACCCCTCTGAAATTCTGATGGAGCTGTTCTTGCCAACCTCTGAAGGAGAGTACTTGGAATGATTTTTAGGAGGAATTCAGGAGACTCTTGCCATACGGAGCTCGGTGCTATCATATAACCTGAAAGCAAGATCTGTGGGAAGGGTGGGAGCGGGGAGCCTGGGGACGAGCACTTGGACTTAACAGCGCAGACAAGTGCTTTTCCCAAGAGGTCAATGGGCCCCTCTGTCCGCTAGAGCACGGTGGCTGGAGTCCTGCACTAAAGTAGACGGCGTGCTTCTCCACTGACTCAGCTTCACACAAATCAATTTTTATTGTTTCACCATCCTTTTGTCCAAAAGAAGTTTATTAAGGTGGCTCCAGTCTAGTTCTAGTCACGTGTCCTAAGATACCCTAAAATATTTCTATGTTTCATGCCTTCCACATTTTTTTGCCACCCCCAAATCCCAAGCTAAATAGCAGCAGCAAAGCCCTAAGTGCAGAAGAGTCTAGCTCCCTCGAGCATGCTCCGTTTCACTGAAGTTTTCTACAGATTTCCTGCCTGAAGAGATTACCGAGTCCCAGGTGGGTGGGATTTTATTCTTACCACAGAGTAGGTGTGATTTTGCGGGGGGCTCTTCCTCCAGCCTCCTAGATCAGAGGCAGATATGTGCCTGAGTCCTGGGTGGGAGGTAAACCTCCTGCACTGTGAGTAACGGGCTCAAGCCTCCCGTCCCCTCTGCCATGGTCACTGGTTGGGAGAGGTGGCCAGTTGCGTGGGCCTGCCTGAGGCCCTGCATGCCCCAGCTGACCTTTGCAACTGAGATGGTATTAGGAAATTTTACCACACATTCCGAAATAGCCCACTCTCGAGTGATCTGGGTGGTGTGGGATGCGGGAAGGACAAGGCGAGCCTTCTTTAGAGGAGATGAAGTTGGCGTTAATCTCCGTGGCTGAGTATGAATTTGCTGGAAGTAACATTTCCAGCCACATTCCTTATCTAGGTACAAGATGCACTTGCTGCTGAGGCTGCCACACTGATAGGCTTCTAGAACTCCTGCCTTCCCTGTGTACCCAGGAGCAGAGAGAGGTGCATCGGTACTCAGGGCTTCAGGATGGCTGAGCTCTTGAGGGATCAGTTTCCCTAATCTGGATGGTGATTTGGCTATAACGAGGATCCAGATGAGAGGTGGAAGTCTCGCTAAACTCCTGATACAAGAGAACTTTGGCAAATTGTCCACGTCACCACTTCAGAGTTGGAAAACCAAACAGGCTAAGGCATTCAGATGTACTTCGTGCCCATCAGACACTTGGGCACACGGTCTCTCAGTACGGGGCACAGCCAAGTGATGCCCAACAGAGGCACCCTTGGCCTCGGGAGGTTCTGAAATCATAGAACAGGGACACTGGTGTCCCCACACCAGGGAGTCTCTGTTTGAAGGAGGTGAGATGCTGAAACCATGTGTCCACACCCAGATAGGTCAAGGGGGGCCTCCGGTGCAAACTGGTACAGACTTGTAGGTTTGGGCGGTTTAAAATCAAAAAGATTCCATCAGTGACAAAAGCAAAGGAAATCAGATTCCACTGGTTTTTCTCAGTTTGGGAAGAATGTTGCATGCAGAGAGTAGCTACCGATATTTGCAAACCTACTTATTCTCTATTTAAGAGTAGCTACTTGGCTAATCCACGATTGCAGAAGCAATTTACTTTCTCGCTCTCAGACTATTTCAGAAATGTTGATGTGTTGGGGGATTTGTATTAGCAAAAGACCTGTTCTCTCCTCTGAAGCCACATCACACAAACAGTAATCCCCAAGAAGAAACTCTAGCCACCCGATGCCAGCAAAGGGGGCTGCTTCTAAGATAGTGTCAACTGCCTGTTTCTTAAAGATGCTTGCGAGAAATACAAATGCCAGTCCGACATTTCCTGAGCCCTGGTTATTTACCAGACTAGAATCCTCTCTGGGAAGTGTTTAATCCGGCATCAAATACAGAAAGGCAAACCATTGGCTTCAAGAGAGCGAGGGTTCGTTGTAAAAGCAAGCAGATGCTCCCGAAAGGACCCAGCTCTGGGGAAAGGAGGAGGCCTGGTCACGGCAGTTTCAGGAACAGCCCGGGGACCTCGCCAGTCCGCCCCAGTGCTGGAGGGACTTTAACAATTGGAGGAGAACCTTCTCAATACGCTTGGCGCATGTGCAGATTTCACTCCTTCAAAGGAGGTGCTGTGAGGACGAGTCCCAAGAATCACAGGCGCGCCAGGTTCACAGGGCACTGGGTACCGAGCTGCCCGGAAGGCCACAGCACTCAAGCGTGCTCCTTACTCCGAGACCCAGGACTCCAGCTGGGTGGCTGTGGACTCAGGGCTCCCCATCCTCTTCTTCCTGTGAGATGCCCAGCACCGACTTGTGGGGGATTTTGCACTCCTGCAGAGATCTGCTGAGGTCAGAGAAACGTCTCCTGGGCACCTCCATGGTCTCGACGCTGCAGTGGTGGTAGGTGGCCTGGTTGTTGCGCTCGGCCACAGCAACCACGGTCTGTAAGGCGTCAGTGGGCCGGAAATGGTGAATGAACCTTCGGCCCGACGGCGATCTGACAGCCAGCAGCAGCCTCGCCTCTTCGTCTGATGGCTCCTCCAGGTCTTGGGCCCTGGATGACATCTGTCTCCTGGTTCGGACGATGACTGTCCTCTCTGGGGAACAAGCTCGAACTCTGGAGTCTTCTTTGCTTGCCTTCATGGTGCCCGTCTCCTCCCGGTAGAGAGCCTGGATGCTGCTCAGCTGCAGCGAGCCGGCCTTTGTGGCCACTGCGTCCACAGAGCCCTCCTCCAGGGTCTTCCTGTTGATGGAAGGGAGGACTCGGTATTTATTGAGGGAGGAGGAAGCGCCCATGGGCACCTGCTGCAGCAGCTCGGGGATCTCATCAGGCGCTCCCTGGTTTGGAGTCCTGGGTGCGCAGGCTCCTGGTCTCTGGCTGCTTGGTGACTCGCAGGGGACGGCCGGGGGCAGGGTGGCCGACGCGCGCGGAGAGCACAGCTGGGCGCCCTGTGGACCCTGCGGTTTGTGTGGACGCGGCCTCGGCCGGCCCTTGGCGGACTTGGGCCTTGGGACGTGCATCTTTGCCGAGTCGGGCTGCCAGGCAAAGCCGTCAGCAGCTGGGCTGCCAACGGGCTGCGTTCGGGGGCCGCTATGTTCACAGGGGCTTCTGTGGCCATTGCTCCTCAAGACCCCTAAGGAAGCGGAGGAAAGACAAGCCGCGGGTTAAACTTCCTGGGACTCTGGCCTCCAAGCCCGTCACCCCCAGGTGCCGGAATTAGTGCCAACTGGCATGGAGTTAGGCGTTTCTCTCTGGATTTCGGGCATCGGGGGAGGGGCACCTGCTGCCGTTCATTCCTTCGCTCATTCATTCATTTCAACCACTTGGAAAAAAATCAGTGAACCAAGACCGAGGAAAGACAGGTGTTGAGTCCACAATGAGAAATTATTGCCATGAGGAAATAAAGTGAGAGTGACTGGGGGGGGGGGGCGCTCATTCTTATTCTTATGGGCGGGGGGCTTTAAACTGAGAGACCAGAGGAATGAGAAGCAACAAGCCATGTGACAATCTAGGGCAGGGGCTGGCTAACTTTTTCTGGGCATGTTTTCAGCTTTGGAAGCCACATGATCTCTGGTCCAATGACTCAGCCCTGCCCTTGCAGCCACTGACCCGGTTCCCCTCGCCACCCCCAGGCCTTACCTGACTCTTCCTGTCTACCCACACTTTAACCTTACTTTGTTTTCCTTCCTCCTGTCTTTTTTTTCAACCTTGGTAAGTGGCTCTGCACAAATCACTCCATGTAAAAAAATCCCTCCACCACCCTAACTTTGTCACCAGGGGGATGGGAAAGGGGAGGGGAGCACTGTTGAAAATTGGCCCCTTGGCCAGAACTCACAGGGAGGTATGCAGGTTCTAGATGAGGGGCCAGCAAACCTTTTCTGTAAATGGCCAGATAGCCCATATTTACAGTTTTGGCAGCCATAGGGTCTGTCACAACTCCACAAGTCTGCGAATGGAGGGTGACAGCCACCATAGACAGTAGGTAAACGAATGGGTGTGGCTGTGTTCCCATAAAGCTTCATTTATGGACACTGAAATTTGAATTTCATACAATTTTCATGTGGCACAAAATATTCCTCTTCTTTTTTTTCACCCATTTAAAAGTATAAAACCTATTCTTAGCCCATAAGCCACATAAAACTGGCAGCAGGCCACATGTACCAAACTGTGTCTTAGACCAACTCCATAGGGGACTCTGGACACGTGCCGATTCTACAGATGTATGAGCCAGAAGGGCAGAGCAATTGGCCCATGGTCACAAAGCCAGCTATCGGCACAGCCTGAACTAGAACCTGGGTCTTGTGACACCAGGTCCTATTCTGGAGGACCTAGGCTTCACCTTCTGTCTTCCCGGCTACCTGGTGAACACTTTGAGGGCCTCCGTAGGTGGGTCTCCTACGCTAAGGGTGCTCATGAGTGCTAGCAAAATCCCACAGAAGCCCCGTGTTCCCAAGCTCGGTAGGAGGCGTGGGCATTTCTCTTCTCAGGCCAGAATTTCCAGATCAGGTCTCCTTCTCCCTCCTCACCACCTTGGTGACCCCTTCATTAACACGGCTACCACCAGCACCACCCCAAGGCCCTGGTTACATCCTTCCCAGGACACTGTGGGGGGGGGGCGTGAATAGGGCTCCCGTCCTCCCTTGGAATCCTGACCACCACTGCACTGTTGCTTTCTGCCCATAGGCTGACCAGGTCTCTCCCCGCCCTCTAGAGACCTTCTGGTAACTTCTCAGTGCGTCACCATCCCCAAGAAGTAGCATATTTGAGTACAAAGGAACCAGGACCTGGTGTCCCAAGTCTGGGGTTCTGTTTCAGGCTCTGCAGAGAGTTCGCTGTGCTACCATGGGACCATCATTCTACCTTTCTGATACATCTCTTTCCCCACATATAGAATTAGCCATAATAATGTCCTTGGAGACATTATTTAAATACCTCTAGCATCAGTCCCTTTATCCGCAACAGGATGGTAGTAAGATGAAATAATGTAACCAGGGCTATAAGTTCCAGGCTTGGTGCATGTATAGTCAAGGCTTAAGAAAAGGTAAGGTGTTTTTGCTTTTGGTTTTGGTTTTCTGTTTGCTTAGTGCTTTCTATCACTTTATGTCCAAAAGTCTTACCTGTTGCTACAGAGCTTTTTCCCCAGGAGAAGGGGGCCCTCAGTGGTTCTACTCTTAGTCACCTCTAACCAGCTGGGCGCATCTTGGGACGTGCACCTGCCCTGCCCACTGCACAGAAACGCCGGAAGGCTGATTTTAATGAGCTACAGCCTCTGAACTTGCCTCAAAAATGCAAAATAATGCTTTTCTAATAACGCTTTCTAATTCCACACTTTCATTGCATCCTTACCTCAAACTGACTCCACGCTACCTTTGTCACACAATCCTGAACAATGTAATGCCAGCCCTGCAGCTTTCCATTCTAACATTACCGTTCGGGGCCTCTCACCCATCTTGCCAAATTTTAGAAGGTATCCTCTCCCTCTCCATTAAGACCATCCCCAAACAAAACACAGTCTTCCCCTATATCCCCGAGGCACTAGCCAGTTCAAAAGCTGTCCTCCATTTCTTAACTTAAAAGCCTCTGTGTTCGCTCCACCCTGTCCACAGACGGGGTCTTTCCACACTCCCATCTTCCACTTCTCGCTAGGCTTTCACACCCAGTCTGGCTGCTGGGAGTTCAGGAACCTTCTCGTTGGCATGAAAAAAGCCTGCCCATCTCCTTGTTAATTTCATCTATTTTCTGATCAACTGTGAAAAATGTGGTTTCTTCCCTGTTGGTTTCGTTCTAAAGTCTTTCCCTTGCAATTAAGCAGCTCTGCACTTTAACTCAGGATGACACAAGAAGGTCATAATTGTCCAACTGTTCTGCCAAAGATAAGCTCAACTCGGGAACCAGCTCCCCTTCTCGGCTCACCCTCCCCGCCTCAAGGAATGGCTATTAATTTGCCACAGCTTCTACAGAATTATCACAGACTTGGCTTCTAACTCCCACACATGCCTCGGGAAGGTTTAACTGTCAGTAAGTTTGGTAACTTAGAAACCTCTTCCTTAACAACTTTGATGAGGCAAGTCATGTGTTCTTGCAGGCTCTCTGCTGGATTATTTTTAACAGTAAAACTTGAGTATGTGCATGCACTTTCTATACCTTTTGGTACTATATAATTATCCATGTTCAGGGGGTGTCATATTCAAGACACCCTGGTCATAAGATAACATGACTGCGAGCTATCTCAGAGAGAGAGAGAGAGAGAAAAAAAAAAAAAAAACCTCAATTATGACTAATTCCTATAAGCCCACTCATGGTTATTTAGAGACTAACACCTCCTTCAGGTAAAACCATTCCATCGAACCTGCTTTCATAACCCACTGCCTCCTCCCGAGCTCGGGGACCATCTGTTACATGGAGGGAGCACCAACTCTCCCCAGCATCTATCCCATGGAGAGGGGAAGCAGGGGAAACAGGTGTTTGGGGACCCTGGGCCAACAGTGCCTCTGTAGCCACACCTTGGGTCCCCGAACCCTGCCCATCCCGCCCCTGGGGCCAGGAAGACTCACGCAGAGCCCATCATTATCCCGGCTCAGCTCGTTTCCCCACCTCTAGGCCTGGCAGTGGCTCAACCACAAAGTGATTTGACAAGACCTAGGTGTAGGCATCCATCAAGCTGCCAGCTGATTAGGCAAGTGGCCTGTTTACTTAAACAGAATAGCTGCACCCCAGAGGCTTGCTAGCAGTCAGGAAACAAACATTGGTAACTGTTTCCAGGGAACTGCCAAAAGGGCAGGCACCCATTCCTTAAGATTAATCACCCAATCAACTGGAAAGGAAGAACATGTGACAGGAAAGGCTGAGGCCATCCTCCTGCTTTCCTAAGGAGCCCCCCCCCCACCCGGGCCCCTCAGCACAGGGTCAGACCACCCTCATCCACTCACAGCCCAAATCTAAACCCACAGTAAACGCAGTAAAATACACCCACCCACGTACCATCTGCTGATGTATACGGAGGATGCATACATTTGAATTGGTCTTTTAAAAATGTTTATCAGTTAATACTATCCCCTGCCAATCCCCACCCCGCCCCCCTGGTGAGGCTGTCAGGATGAAAGGCATGAAAGGCACTCAGAAGAATCAACAGGAGATGGTAGTTGGCCTGAGCAGGAGAAAACTTTGGTACCATTCCCAGTTCTACCCCCGACTAAATGAGTAGAATGCACTGTCCCACGCAGAGTGCCACGTTTCAAAGGGGGAGTGGAGAAATTGGACCGCAAGCCATCAAGTGATCAAAGGTTTGGAAAAGGCAGTGGGGACGGTTGCAAGAGCAGCGTGGGGAGGGGCAGGTGGAGGAGGATAGCTGCAGACGTTCTTCCAGATCTTCCAAGTGCCGGCAGGCCCCTCTAGACGGAAAGGAGCTGGAACAGCAGAAGCAGGCATTTGGGGGAGGGGCAGGAGGGGACGTCTAGAAAGTGAGAGGCGCCCAGGTGAAAGAGCACGGGTCTGGGGGAGCTCCGGTCTGGTTCGGGCCTCGGTGTGCGGGACGAACTCTGGTGTCCCCCTGGGTCGGTGTCCCCGTCCAGGCCCCGGGGCTTCCGCGGAGCCCGGGAGCTGCCCCATTCCTGCAACGGTGAGCTGGGCCGAGCCCCGGGAGTGGCCGCTTCTCCCCGGGCCCGTCCTGTCCCCGGGGGCGTCGCCCTGGCCGTGACCCTGGCGGTGGCCATGGCCGGGCGCGCTCACCTGCCGCTGCTCCATCCGCCGCGGTCGCCGGCTCCGGCCGCTGGTAAACAGCCCGCGTCTCCCGGGCAACGCGCCCGAGGGGGCCACGTGCTTCCTTCTGGGCCGCCCAGCCCGGCCCGGGGCGAGCAGGTGGGGGGGGGGGACTCCTGGCTCCCGTGACCTCGGGGCAGGCCCCAGCCCGTTCAGTGTCCCCGGCTTGGGGGGCAGCTGCTGGACTGGTTTCCTGCGAACCCTACAGGCTGCGAGGGTGCTTCTAGGGCATGGGTCCAGCTGGGGCCTTGTCTGTCCTCAGGGCAACCCCTCCAACTTCCTCATCAGCACCCCCACTTCCATCCCTTCCTTGGTATCAGTTGCATCTGCCCCTGCTCTGCCCCTCCTCACCGCGACGCCTGCGCTTCCAGCAACCCCAGTCACGGCTACCCCATTTGTCTTTCGCCCACGGTGGAAACCCCAGCCCCGTTGCCCTGTGCCCTTTCTCCCCGCGTGGCCTGCCTCTTTCCTGCCCTGTCCAGCCCGGGGCCCTCTACTCAGACCATTCCCTTAGGAGAGTCCCCTCTGCGCTTCTCCAGCGGCCTCTCCATCCCTCCCACCTGAGAGCTGATGAGAGTTTCCATCCATCAGTCCACCCACACCCAGGGGCTGGAGAAACCTTGACCAGCCATGGTCCTGGGGGTAATGGAAAGATGTGGTCTCCAACTTCTACTGGACCCTCAACACTTCAGAAGAAATCCTTCCACTTCCCACGGTTCCGTCCTGTCTCCTCTCTCCTCCACGGTGACTTCAGACCTGTCCTCTCTCCTGAAACCTCTCCTCTCTTCCCTCTCCCTGCCCTTCCTTCCACATAGAAGAATCCCTACTTCCCTCTTCAGGGAGAAAGTAGAAGCCATCCTATGGAAGCCTTCTTAATGTCCTGCCATCAGACTACACACTTGCCTGCCTTCCTCCCTCTCTCCTGCTCGAGTGGGAGGGGACACGTCCTCTGACTCTGTCCAAGACCTACAGCTCCTCCAGACACCACCCCTACCCCCACCCCACCCCCAGCCAAGCCAGTTCCCTGCCACAGGGCCACACTCCAGCATTGCTCCTGCTGTCCCTGATACCTGGAAGATCCTTCTCCACCCTCCCCACACTTGGCTTCCTCCTTTCCTTTGCCTAATGCCCACTCACCCTTCAGATCCCGACTTGATGGATGAAGACTCTTCTGAAATGGAATTGAGATGGCTTCAGAAGGAGCCCTTACTGGACTATTATTGCCTGCCAGGCACTGTTCTAGATTATTGGAATATGCAGATGAATAATTTCGTGACTACATTATTGGAAGATGATGTTAGTAGACATCCAAGAACCAAATTATCAGTGGAGAGGATTAGGATTCATTACCTAGCATTGTGGCCAGATATTTGCTATCTAGTGTATCCCAGACGCATGGACGCAGGATTGCAGTAGGGCACAACTCTGACCCACCCACAAGATGGTCACAATTTGGTTAAGGAGGCCTGTCACACACCCCTAAAGAGTTACAAATCAGATTGTTTTCCATATAGTTTGAGCCAAGAATGGAAGAGCAGGCGCAGGCTGGACGTGATGATGTGCCAAGCGATTGGTGCTGACAGGAAGTTTTTCAGGTCCAGGGAAGGAGGGGATCATTTCAGCAGTGATGTTTCTTCCCATCTCAGAAAAGCAGTACCTGATTGTGGGAGCTGCTGGGGGGCAGGCCTCCTGCTAGGGTCACCCGCTCACCCGCCCTGCACATCCAGGGTGGCATCTGAGGCCCCAAGAGGTTGCAGGAGGCGGCGGTCTTAGGAGCTGTTGGCTTTGCAGCTCCATGCTGGTGGCTTATTTCTTGTAAACGATTCTGTCAGAAATATCTAAGCAATGCTCTTCAGGCCTTCGACGCCCACCCAAAAAAGATTAAAGTAGATTCTTCATCAGCTATTTTAATATCACCTAAGAATTATGCAATCTTTTGGAAAATCAAATTTGCTTCTCACCGTGTGTGTGTGTGTGTGTGTGTGTGTGTGTGTGTAGGGAAATGGTGCTTAGGCCTAAGGTCTGTTTAATATTTAGCAGTATGGGCCCTTTGGTCTCTGGTGCCATGTGATGTGCAGTGCCAGGGGGAGACTGGAGGGAAAGAAAGGAAGCCAACTAGCCAATTGCTGTGCCTTCCTCCTCTTTAAAGAGAGATCTGACTTTGCTACCTTTGTCCCCCCTTTTCCTTTAAAGAGCATGTCTTCAGAGGACAAACCCTATAATGCCTGGTCTCTGGTGGAGCCGCAAAATGGATTCTCAGGAAATGTGGCCAGAGGTCCCTGCACCACCAGCTTAAATGTGGACTCATCCTCCTTTCCAGCCACGGTTGCCTTGCTCCTCCACTGACTCCATGAGTTCCAGCCAGCTTGTTCCCCAACTGGGCCTTCAGTCTTTTCACCTCCAGGGTCTTTCTGCTCTTGCCTGCCCCACCCCACTTCCTTTCTCGAAGTTAATCCAAATTTACTGAACCCCTGTTAAAAAGTCTCCTCTTTCACGAAGGCCTTTCCTGACCACCTCCTCCCCACCCCCAAACTTCATGGGCTTTGGCTGATCCCTTTTGGTCCAGTGGAACATGCCCAGGATGGCACCATGCACCCTCACTACGTCAGTTCCTCCCATCTTCAGTGCTCTCTTCCAGAAAGGCATCATTGGTCTCCTTTGCCATAGAAAACAATTGACCTCAGTGTCCCTCAAGTTAATGAGTGGGAGAGCAGTTCCAGAACCCCAATCTGGCTGATTCCAAAGCCCACTCTCTGTACCCCCAGAGCCCCACCCCGGCATTCCCACATGGCGTCTTTACCTGTACCTACCTATTGCACTGGTGGTGAGGTGGCCGGTATGGCCCCTGGAGTCCAGGCTCGAGTGTGAATCCTGGCTCCACCGCTTGCTAGCTGGAGACCTTGGGTAGCTGATGACACTTCTCCGGACCTCAGTTTCTATCTGTGTAAGAATGTAGGTGGTAAGAATGGGAGTGTGGCAAGGGTGAAATCAGATTCAACCTGGAAAGTTCTTAGCACAGTGCCGGGCACTTGGTGAGCACTTGGTGAGAACTAGTGCTCATTATCATGTTGGTCTCATCCTACAATGTGTCCCTGCTTTAGTAGGGTATGGGCTCCTCCAGGGAAGGAGCCTGTGCCTGTGTCTGAGTCCCCTGCTTGGCTGACACAGTGCCCGCTTCATGGTAGGTGCCCAGCAAATCAGAGTTAAATTAATGAAGAGGCAATGCTGATTCCATAGCTGGCTTTTCCACTGAGGGACTGGCTAGGTGCCACTTGGTATCCCCCAGGGATATCTAGTTTGAAGTCTAAATGACCTCCCCCAGGACTGGGCTCAAGGCAGGAGCTTCCGTCTCTTGGCAGCTGGTCCCCAAAGAGCAGTTGGCCTCTTTTTGAACTAGCAGCCTCTAGATTTTGGAGTCTATACCCAGTGTCCTATTCTGTCCTCGATCTCACCAGATGTGTCGATTGAGACCACGGATAACCTTGGTCTCAGAGGGGGGACCAGGTGTGTGCTCTGGTAGAGAGGCCAAGAAGCTGGCACAGTTACTATATATCCTGATGCTTCGGCTTCCCAAGGGGACCTGCAAGAGGGAAGTTTCTGGGTAATGAAATTTACCTCTTAAAGTACTACAGGTTTCTACGGTTTCCCCATATTATTGGAAAACATCCATAATGTTCTCCTTTCCTGTCTTCTTAAACAAAACATAGCAAACATGGTAACTCACCTTGGCTACTGTTGACTAATCCCAGGTTGTTATCTCTGGAACTTGTTGAATCTTGCTGGCAATCCACAGGGGGTCAGGCGGCATTGTCTCCACCTGACAGATGATGCAGCTAAGGCTCAGTGCACTTCAGTGGCTCTGCCAGGAAGTATAGAGCCCTGCTCCAACCCTCTTCTCCAACAGAGAATCTGAAGTTATTTGCCTTGCGCCTTTGCAGTCTCTTATACAATGCAGCCTTTTCTTGACGACTTGACATCAATAACCACTCCAGGCTGATGTAGCTAGAACCATCTGCCCCTACACTCAGTGGCTCCAGGTCCATAGGCTTGGTCAGTTCTTGTTTTGATCACTCCTGTGTCTCCCTTGCCTGCCTTCCTGCTTACTAATAACCGCCACTGTAATCCCCTTCCTGTTCATCCGCTGGGGCCCAGAAAGAGAAGCTGACCCCTTGCTGGCATCGTGCCTCAAATAAGAGTGTTCGTGGCATCTGCTTGGATGCTTGGGTAGTTTTGGTTTTGTTTTCTCAGCCCTGTTTTAGATAGGTAGAGCCCCTCGGCCCAATGACCCACAGGGAAGCAGACAGCTAAAGGTTAGGGATGCCGCCTTTGGTGTTGACACACCTGAGTCGAGTCCTGGCTCTGTCGATTTGCAGGACAAAATGCCTAACCTCTGCCAGTCTCTATTCTTTCATCGACAAGCTGGGTTCATCATCTAGGCCACATTGGGAGCATTAAAAGAGGGTTTAAGGAGATAATCTACAAGCTGTGCTTAGCCCCATGCTGGCCCCCAGTAGGGGATAGTTTTGTTTATATTTCTGTAACTTGAAGCATGATCAGATTCTGATCATTCATGCACTCATTCATTCCTCAAATATTTATTTACTTCCATCTCTCCATGCCTGGCTTCCTTATCTGCATCATGGAGGTAATAGCAGTATTTCTCCAGCTGGAGGCCGTGAGGACTTAATGAGTAACTGTATGTCAAATGCTCAGAAGCCACCCAGGGTGTAGAAATGGGACACCACCAAAAGTTACCCATCCTCACCATCAGTACTAGTGTGTGTCAGGCCCCACCTGTGCTGGTTAGGTACTAGGGATAAAGAGGTGAACAAAATAGAATGGTCTTTGACTTATGGAGCTTACAGATTCTTTCCTCCTTATTTACTCCACGGGGAGAAAAGCCAACCCATGTGTCAGCATTGTCTGTAAGATGAATTGGTGGGTCTGAGAGTGGTAGCTCACGGAGACCTGCCAACTTGCTGGCTGCTCCCCCAGAGGCTGGCATTGGAGTCCATGCTGCCTTCCCTACCATGTTCTTGCCCTTCATCAGATCCCTGGGCTGCTGGCCCTGTGCTCTTGCTTTGGGCTCAGCGCGATCTAAAGCACCTGCAAGCAATCAGTCAAAGGGACGAGCCATGCCGGTCTTGCCTAAGTCATAGTGTGAAGGCCGGTGTCTGTGAAAATGCCTCAGAATGCCACATGGGCAAGAGGTCTAGGCAGGGAGCCTGGCGAAGTAGAAAGAGCACTGAATTTGGAAGTTGGGACCAGAGGTTCAGTCCTGGTCCTGCCACTTGGTAGCTGCGTGTCACTTTTCTCTGAACCTTGCTTTTCTCATCTGCCAGGCAAGAAGGTGATAGGCTCTATCTAGTAGGGTCACGTGGGGAGCAAATAGGAGTGGAATATAAATTTAAGATAATTCAAGTCCCCTTCAAACCCATCCTTTTGGACGTGAGTTCACTGCTTATCACTCTACATGGGCTTAGATTGGCCTCCCAGGACACAGACCCTGAGACAGAGAAGTGCATTCTCAGGAGGCTCCTAGGAGAGACACCTGTCAGGAAGTGAACAAAGCAAGACTGGAGAGAGGGAGAAGCTGACACACAGGAAGAAACTGATGTTCAGAGAAGCTGACACACAGAGGGAGAAGCTGGCACACAGAGGGAGAGGCTGGCATACAGAGGGGAAAGCTGGCATACAGAGGGAGGTGCTGACATGGAGAAGCTGGCACACAGAGGGAGAAGCTGATACAGAGGGAAAAGCTGGCATATAGAGGGAGAAGCTGACACACAGAGGGAGAAGCTGAAACACAGAGGAAGAAGCTGGCATCAGAGGGAGAAGCTGACACACAAAGGGAGAAGCTGGCACACAGAAGGAGAAGCTGGCACAGAGGGAGAAGCTGGCACAGAGAAGAAGAGCTGGAGCACAGAGAGACACTGATTTCATTACCAGTAACGCACCCAGGTCCCTTTCTTTGTCTCTCCAAAACGTCATCACCTGCTCATTTAAACGACGTATGTGCCTTCTTCTTGGACTAAACCATCACACGGTTATTTTTGCAGACTCAGAAGAGGAAAGGGAGCCAGCCCAGAGAGATGGAGCCTAATTTAAAAACCTCCCCGCGGCACTTGAAACAGAGACTGGCTGGGACCAGGACTGGTCAGGGCCTAGCCGGACAGCCTCCAGCAGAATCTGGGCAGAGAGGGCCAGAGGTAGCAAAGACCCCTGATGAACGGGCCCGGGGGCTCTGCAGCAGGACACTCATTTTGAAGTTTTCCTAGGAAACTTTGTCACAGAATGTAAATCTAGCCAAAGCTCTGTACCTGCCAAATTCTCTGGGCTCAACGGAGCTATTGTTCATACTCCAAGTCCTGCTGTTATCAGATCCAGCCTGATTTCTGATGGGCCACATCAAGACCACTTGAATTTAGAGAGAGCTGTTGCCAGAACGGGGGTAGGGGTGGGGGTGGGTCCTTGGGATGACAGGGGATGCCCAGCCCTCCTCTGTTGTCCTGTGGGAAGCGAGCCACGTATGGGGACCCTTACTGTTGCTAAGAGTAATAAGAGGGGTACGTTTCACTGTCACAGCATTTCACAGTATTGAGCAGCTTTACCTCCATTGTTTCCACAGGTCCCCCCAAGTCTGTGAAGCTGGGGGTTATGTGGATTCAAGGAAGCTGTTCTGACTCTTGTTTCTCTGTCTCCAAAACAACTACAGAGCCTTTCAGGTTATAAGGATTAAATCATGGAATACCCGTGAAGACCCTAAAGAAAACAGCACCTGGCATTGAGTCACGCCTTAATAAATGTTCGAAATTACTGATAGGTATTTTAGACTCACTTGGTAGGAGAGGAAGCCAAGGTTCAGAGGGGCTAAGCTCCTGAATGAGATACCTGATACCAAGGAAGACAGACATGGGCAGGGGCCCACCGTGCAGGTGGGGCTAGACTTCCTGGCGTGAGATTTCCATCACGGACCCCCCCACCCACCCACCCCAATGACTGTAAACTTGGGAACAGAGGAAGTGCTGACTCCTCAAAAGAAAAAAATAAAAATAAGGAGTTGAAGGGATGATGTTGCCAGAAAAAGAAAAGAAACACTTGCACTTTTCAGACAACTGAGTCCTTCGTATCTTTATATTTAGGTCTAAATACCAGAGGGGGGATCATATTCAAGATAAATAGGTTTGAAAAGGATCCCTTTGCTCTGAGCCCTGCACTGTGATTGGGGTTTTGCACCCACATGGCCTCACCTCATTTTGGTCTTTTTCAGGAGTTCAGCTGGCAGAGGAAGGTGCGATCCTGGTACCTCTGACCCCCCTGGTGTCCTCGGGAATGAAGACCTTTGGGGTTCTCGTGGTCTTTGCCTCCTGCTGTAAGTAGTATGGAGCTGAGAGAGCTCCAGGGCGTCCTCCTGTCTGGGTGCTTCTATGTCTCTGGGTGGCCCCTCCTGATATGGTGCCGAGTGAGGGGAAAATCAGGTGTCACTCAAAAGAGAATCAGGAGTGGAACAGGCTCCCACCAAAGTCCTCCTCCTTCTGTTTCTTCTACAGAATGGATTGGCCCCAGAATTGGGACCTCAGAAGACTTCTAGAAAATCAAAGATTCCTAACCATTTGCCAAGAAAAAGGGTCTTTGACTACTGTTTTACCACACACCCCCTTTGGAAGCCTTTTTTTTTTTTTTCCTTTGGATACTGGTTGGCTTTGTTTAAAGTCATGTAGATTCCAGAACAAAAGCACAGACATATATTGAGCTAATTTAGGGACAATTAATGCTCATCAGAAAGGCTCTCATATGGTGACTTATGGAATAATGTGTAATTATAAGTCATTGCTACCAGGAGATCAGATAACACACCTCTGCAAAGTGAAAAAGAACTTACTAGGAAACAGTGTTGGGTTTGTTGGGAAACGCTTTGACTCTGGTTTGATGAGTTTGATTAGTAGAGATTTCTCGGGGTCTGTTTTTCTGTTTCAGCTGCGTAGCTTTCGGGTCCCCAAGTCAAAACGCCAAAAGCAGAGCTCCCGTATTCCCTTAATCCATGGTGGAATTTACAGTTTTCAAGATCATGGTGGGTTGGGGGGGTCCCCATAGGCAGGGAGGACCACTTCCACAGCCCCCGCGGTGACCCCCCTCCCCAGATCAGTGCCAGAGGCGACCCTGATCTCTCTCTCTGGTGCAGGAGGGTGGAGGGGGGTTGCTGCTTGGACAGCAATGACCACCCCAAGCTTCCATCCCCTCTGCAGTGCTTCATGACAACAAAACCTGCAGTTTCACAGGGGAAGTCTCTTGTGAACGTTTCCTAAAACCCTCTATCTCCGTTTTTCTTCCTCAAGTTCATGTCTGCATGTTAATGTATCGCAAAATGAATATGTGCAGGCAATGAAAAAGTAAAAAAAGTGATTATCAACAAGATAAAGCCACCTCTCATCCCTCCCAGGCCCCAGTCCTTTTCCTACACCCAGAGACAACCGCTCTGAAGAGCCCGATATACATGCTTCTAGGCTTTTCCACACATACATTTCAAATGTTTTAATAGAAAAGTAATACATGTTCATTGTAAAAAAAAAAAAAAAGTCAAACAGCCTAAAAGTATATAAACGGTGCCTCTCATCTTCTCCACCTACTTCCTCAATCCCACTGCCCAGAGAGATTGCTATTAAAAGTAGATGTTTTCAAGACACCATTTAGTTATTCTCCCGTCAGTGGATATGTGGGTGGTGTTCAATTTTTTGATACCACAAGGGACGCGCTGCAGCAAATATCCCTGTGTGTGTGTGTGTGTGTGTGTGTGTGTGTATATATATTCTTCCCCCACTTTCATAAACATTCTGTAAAAAAAAAAAAAGTAGATTGAGGGTATCTTTTCTGCCTCTTAAGTATTTTGTGTCTCCTGGGAGATTATAAATGCCTGATGATATTTGTAGGTTTTGGCATCTCAGGCTTTGAACTTTTCCCGTTAATGTTGCATCAGACCCAAGGGTGTTTCTGCCTAGGATGGTGGTTTTTCACTTTGCGGGGGAAGACATGGTTGGCAGTAATGTCCCGAACATCATGGAAGCCGGGTTCTCAGCCTCAGCTAGCAGGAAACTGGCTGTGGGACACAGTGTTCGGATCCTATTACCTTCCCCATGAGAGGGGCTGATGATCCCAGCCGTGCCCACATATGGGGGCATGTTTTGGGGTCTCCTGATGTCCTGGATGCAAGCACTCTGGGTACAGGTCGCCAGGGTGGGCTTGTCCTCACCACCCTGTTGTCTTCTTTCTTATTTTCTCCCTGGCAGTGATGGCTCCTGCCCACAGCAGCTTCTGGCAGTTTCAGAGGATGGTCAAACACATCACAGGGCGGAGCGCCTTCTTCTCGTATTATGGATATGGCTGCTACTGTGGTCTTGGGGGCAAAGGGACCCCCATGGATGACACTGACAGGTGAGTCCAGAGGCTCCAGGCCTGCCTTCATCTGATTTGCACTGAAACCCAAGCCTTCGGGGGGGGGGGGGGGCAGGGTGTTAGGACTCTCGCACTGCAAGGAACACAAGCCCGTCTGTGGTTTGCCGCTCTGCAGCCGCCATCTTGAAGCTCTTGTGTTGGAACAACATGTCCCGAATTCTCATTTTGCACCAGGCCTCGAAAATTATCCAGTCAGTCCTGCTCAGAGCCCCAGAAACATTTGCACTTCTCAAACGTCACAGCAAACGTGATCTTCTCTCAGCAACCCAGTTTTTAGGATTAGAGCACAGCAAGACTGCCCTGCTGTCTCCCGGGCCTAATTCCACATTCCGGGAGAGAGAATCCCGGTGGCCCAGTTTGGAAAAGTTGTCCATCTGGGCGAGGCCACATGGTCCAACGTGGCTGCCAGGCCTACTCTTCAGCGTGGGGATGGGGAGCGTGAGTCCCAAGAAAAAGTGGAGGTTGGCATAACCTGGCGAGGGCATGGGGAGGTAGGTGACAGGATAGTTCGCACGTCATTCATTTGAAGGGAGAAGAAGCCAGGTGTTTCTTGCCACTTTGAACCTCACGTGGACAAATACGTACCTGCTGCAGGGACTGAAATGTCACTCTTGGAGCTTGATTCCTCTGGGCTGGACTCCTGAGAGCATGGAATATTCTAGCGGGAGGGACCCCAGAGCCCTGCAGGGGACCTAACACTACCCGTCATGTGTGATTTGCATATAGGGCCTAACTTAATCCTTACATCCAGTGGCCAGGGCAGTTACCATCCCCATCTTACAGGCACCAACCGTCAGGACCTCCTAAACCTCTTGGCAAAGTCTAAAGACACACCAGCCCCTGAGTGGCCAAGTCAGGATCTGAACGAGAATTTGCTCGTCTCCCAGTCCCGGCCCATTGAGGCTCTGCGCCTCCCCTTTCAAGCCCAAAGGCTGATGAGAATTTTAAAGCACCATGAGACAAAGATGACAAACAGCAAAGAGCCCACTTGCAGGGGGTGATGACGACAGGAAGGACCGAAGTGTCTGGTCCAGAGCATTTGCTTTTCCCTGTCTTGGAATCCAGCCCCCGGTCTCGGCCCTCCTCCCTTCCTGCCCTGGCCAAGGCCGGCCCACCTGTTTTCTCTTCTTGGTACTCTCCCTTTTTCTGCTCCAGGCCACTTTGAACATCGTGAGAACAAGGTCTAAAGGACTCTGGGGGTTTTTGCTGAGCCCTGTCTCCTCAGGGACTATCACAGTGCTTGGCACATAGCAGGTGCTTAGGAAGAAGTTCATTCCATGAATGACCAAGTCCCATGGACCTAGGTTTGGGCCCCAGGTCTCTCATTTTTCAGCTGGATAATTTTAGGAAATTCCCCTCTTAGGATCTCATCTCCTCCTCTACAAAAGAGGGATGATGATCACACTTCACGGGGTTTCATAGAGGAGCTAATGAGGTAGCAGAAGTTTCTAGAAAGGGCTCACTGCCTGTTAGTGGTTATGTTTATATTGTTAATATTTTTAGGGACTTCCCTCCTTATTGTCAATGCCGTCTTGCTCCAGGGAGGATACGGGGGAGTCCTTTCCAGGTTGCACCCTCCATCTCCACCCTGCTGATGCCCCAGGGCCCACCCACTGGGGAAGCCCCTCACCCCCTCTGGTCTGGCCCCCAGATGCTGCCTGGCACATGATTGCTGCTACGGGAAGCTGAAGCAGCTCGGCTGCCAGCCTGTGCTGAACGGCTACCAGTTCCACATCGCCAACAGGACCGTGGCCTGTAAGTAGCCCTCTCTACGGGGAAATGGCTTTGAACCCGGGCCTCTCCTTAATGTCTGCCTCCTGGCAGAGGCGTGCTTTGCGACAGAAAGTGACAATTCTAGGAATCAGAGCTTCTTGGGAGCCCTTGCTTGGTCTCATCTCTCCTGTCCATGGCTGTCTCTCTAGCACCCCCTGGGAGCATGCAGCCCATGCCTGGGGTATAGTACTTGCTCAATAAATAGTTGTTGACTTGAGATTACACTGAATCTTGCAGCTTTGCCTGGCAACTGTTGCCGTTGAGAACATTCCTCCTAGGTCTGTCATGTGTCACTTAAGCAGCTCATCTGTCTTTTGGTTGGACAAATATTTGTTAAGGGTGACTACATGCCAAGCACGGGTAGGTGCCCTGGGAGACACAAAAGTAAATAGGAAGGGTCAGGGAAGGGAACTCATGTGTCATCGAGGCCATTCAAGGAAGAGAGCAAAGGACAGGGTGGGCCAGTACTGAGTGTCCAGCAGGTGGGTAGTGGCCCCTGATACCCTAGAGCATATCTCTGGGGCTACTAGGGTGTGGGTGTGTGTAGGGCAAGTTTGGTCAAAGCACATTTGAAGTTACTGCGCCTTCTCGTGAATGCCCTTCATTCCAATGGCACCAGTGGTTTGAATGCCCTTTAGGGCAACTGGCTTCCTACCTGGCCTTGTGGAGGTGCATGGACCCCTCTCCTCCCTGTGCGTATTTGTGCTCAGCTATGAATCTGTCGTAGTTCACCTGTCTCTTCCCCAGGTGAGGGAACCGCCACCTCCCTTCCCTTCCTCTCCCCCACTTAGAGTGGGTGCTCAGCGCCCAAACCCCAGCGCCTCCTACCCAGAGCCCCAGCTCAGGACACAGCAAGACTGACCAAGCGTTAGGGCTGTGGGGTGTCCCTGGTCCAGTGATGAGACCTGAGTCTTGGGGGGTGGAGGGCTCAGAACCCTGCTTCTCAGCCTCCATGGCCCCCAGCCCCCAGGCACACTGTCGACTGGGAGAATCCTCTTTTTCCCACTTGAGTTTAACGAGGCTTCTGTGTCGGAGCTCTCTGGCCATGACTGTGCTCACACCAGAGGAATGTGTCTTCTGGGAGGTCCCCCAGGCCACGTGCAGGGGATGGGATCCAGACCTAGTGAGGGGTGGGGGCCAAGGGAAGGATGTCGGAGGTTTCCCCCAAAGTATTGTTGACTTTGGCACATGATGCCATTGGAGGCAGAGACTGAGTTTCTGGCAGCCTCTTCCCACCTTTCTGGGCCTCACCTGGCAGGAGTCGGGGGGACAAGCCTGGGGTTTGGACTGGGTGCACACACACACAAAAGGGGCCTCTGACTCTTCTCAGCCTGGCTTATGGTCTCACTTCCCTATGGTTTCTTCTCATCTCTTTTCCTCTTGATCATAACATATGTCATGTCAAGCGTTACCTTAAAGTGCTTGAAAAGTTATCACTTTTAGAGAAAATGTACTTGAGGAGCTCTGTCCTCTGATGCCCCCATAAGGTTCAGGGACTGAGGAAGAAGGGAAAAGGTGATCTGAGGAGGGAAGTGGAAATTCAGTAGGTGCAGAAGACCTGCCTGTACCCCGGTCCCGGGCTCAGGGCAAGCCTCTGCCCTCTGCACCTGGAGCAGTTTTTTTTTTTTTTTAGCAGCTTCTTTAGCAATCCTCTTCCCCCTCCCATGTAGGGCCAGAGCCACAGCCTGGGGTCCCCAGGAGATGCAGGAGAATGATCTGGGGTACAGGCTGTAGCCCACCCCCCCACCCCCGAGGTGGCACATGGAAACATCTTCTGCTTGGCACCTGCTGGGTGGTGGTGGGAAGTGCAGGCAGGGGCTGAGAGCTGGGCTGGAAAGTTTGCAGCCTGGGCTGTGCTTTCCACCGATGCTGCCAGGAAGCCAGTTGCTCCCAAAGCTTGAGCAGACCTTCTGGACTCCAGAGCCCTGTAAGCAGGCTACAGGAGTTAGCATGGGGAGACGGATGCTTCCCCATCACCACCAGGGCATCACCATCCTCCTGCTCAGCTGCCCCAGCCAGTGTGTACCAGGCCAACCCCCCATCTGCCCCACTCTACCTGCCAAAGCCCTGCTCCCAGGAGCAGGGCTAGGAGCTGGGTGATCTGGGTTCTCATCCTGGGTCTGCTGCTGCTACATGCTGAGCCCACAAACCAGACCCAGTCACATTCATTTACTCGTCCAGTATTGCTTGAGTGCCTACTGGATGCATGGGCAAGTGCACAGAGCAAGGCAGCCTTAGGTCCTGTTTTCCTGGCATTCTTCAGGGCTGAAAGCGCCCTTAGAGACCCTCTAGACCAACTGTTCATTGTAGGGACGGGAGGCTGAGGCCCAGAGGGCATAAGAGTTTGATCTGAGTAACGGGCAACATTAAAACACGTGTCTTCAGCCTTTCCAATGCTCTGGAACATACTGCTTGGCCTGAGTTTTCTGGGCCTGAGTTTCTTTATCCATAAAATAGGTATATTAGCAACAGCTTCAGTCTGTGAGCATCCGTGATAGACACTTTACACACAGCACCGTAACCCCCAGGATACCCCTTTGAGGGGTGGGCATGGTTATCAAGAGGGACCCTGAGGCTCAGAGAGGTTAGCTGAGATGGCCACGGTCCCACAGCCAGGAAAAGAAGAGTCGCAAGTCAGACCCACATTGTCTGGCCGCAGAGCTGGCGCCCCTGTCTCACACTGCCCTCCCCAGCAGCATGGGGCTGACGGGAGGGTATTGGGGGGATGCACTTTGTTCCCATGAATGCAAGTCTTGCTGTCAGCAGCATGCTCATCAGAATGCTCAGCGCCAGCCCACGGGACAGAGAAAGGCAGATGGAGACTCGGCTCCTCCGTGATGCCCCAGATCTTTTTGTTCTGAAAGATCTTCTGAGCTTTATGTCCCCTGCTAAGAGGCCCAAAGAGAGCACATCCTTTGGAGTCAGGCAGAGCTGGGTCTGAATCCCAGCTCCACCCCTTCTAGCTGGATAATTGCACAACTAGCCTGGGCCTTAGTCTCTTCATCTGTAAAATGGGGTTAATAATCTGTACTTCATAAAGTTACTAAAGTAACCCCGATAAAGGGTCAGGCCCATAGCAGGTGCTTAGGTAATGCCTTTCCTTTTAGAAGCTGAGACTTCTATGTGCATCTAAGTTTTCTTTTCCCCTTTTGACTTTTGCAGAAGAGCACTGGGATTTGCTTCATTACTGTTAGGAGATTTCTCTGAAGCATCTCCTCTGCACCTGCAGCGCCTCAAGCTACTATCATTAACTCCTAAGGAAGAAAAGCTCTTCCCTCACCCCAGTTCCACCGGGGTTCAAAGAGCTGCCCTGCAAGGGTTAACTGTCTCCCCCACCCTCCCACCCCAGCCTCCAAGTTCTGAAATCCTGTACCCAGAGCCTGGCCCTGGGTTGCTTAGCAACCTGCAGCTGATCCGGGGATGCAGTTGGTGAGCAGGGAAGGGAAAGGGAAAAACAACTTGGCCTGTCCATGTCTTTAAATGTCACTGGGAGATCTTTGCAGAGAAAGGCCTGTAACCCAAGCCCTGGGGCTAATTTGCCAGGTGGGGACGGCTGCCCTCGAGCAACCAGGGAGGTTGTTATCCCTCCTTTGGGTGGTCTTACGTAAGTACTTGGCATTTGCAGGGGACTTTAAGATTAGCCAGCAGAGATACCCCCCCACCTCCACCCACATATGCACGTGTGCATTAGTGCAGGGGCCATGGGAGGCAGAGACCAGGTTCCAGCCAATAGTGCCACTTACACCTCCATGTCTGAACCTCAGACTTCTCCCTCTGCCAACGAGGGAAGGTGAACAATGGCAACCACTGGAATCTGCAGTTTGCAAAGGCCTTTCTCCTTCATTACTGAATGTATTCCTTCACAACACCTCCACTCGCTGACACATCACCCTTTTCTCTCCTAGCATTTGTGTCTACCTGAAATTACCTTGCTTATTTATGCAGCCACTCTCCCATCAAGCAGAATATGAGTTCTGGAGGGCAAGGAACAAGCCTGTTTTGGGGGTTTGGGGGCGGGGGCAGACTCATCCTCATTAGAATCCACAGGGAAGGATGCCCTAGGAGCTATGCAATGTGGGGCCTGCTTGCAGGAGGACCTGTACCTCTAGTTATTAGCCAAAGGCCTGGCACATGTTAAGAACACTGTACCTGTTTGATGAGTGAATGAATGAACAACTCATGAAATAGTTAATGCAAGTGTCTGTTTCCCGATTTGAGAGCTGAGGCAACAGGCTTGGGGATGAACAACTTGCCTGAGATCCTAAAGCACGCAGATGGTGGGTCTGGATGGAGAAGCTGGCTTCCCAGGTTTCCTAGGATGGGGATCCTTTTGCTGCCCCAAAGACAGTGAGCGTCCAGCCCCATGAGGCAGTAGCACTTAGTGATGGGCTGCTCACTGCGTGGTTAGGGCTGAAGATGTGCGATAAGAAGACAAACTCCCTGCCCAGAAGGAGCTTGCAGGGGGAGGGGATCAGGTCCCAAAATACTCAAAAATAAAGTGCACTCAGGTGTGGATCAGTGCTGCGACAAGACGACAGGATATGGAATGACAGCGGCAGGGAGAGGGAGGGATGGCTACTTCAGGTGGCCGCAGAGGTCCTCACAAGGAAGTGGCATTTAGCCAGTGTGGCAGGAGCCAAGGCGATGGCAGCAGGACAGTGGAGGCTGGTGTGGCGCAGGGACCCGGGGCCACGGGATGGGCGGACAGGGGAGGAGTGCACCCTCTCCTTCAGTAGCAGGGGAAGCCGCCAGAGCGTTTGAAGCAGGATGTGCTCTAATGTTGCTTTAGAAAGATCACTCCGGCCACTGCCCATGGAGGATGGGGAGCAAGGGAAGAAAGATGGGGAACCACTAGTGAGCACTGGGGAGATGCTTCCACAGGGTGGTGGACTGGAGGAGAGAAGTGCCAGATGCTGGGTGTTTTGGAGGTAAATTGTCAGGAGCTGCTGATGGACGAGTTGCGGGGTGGGAAGGTAAAAGAGGCAGGATCCAAGGTTCCCGGCCCAAGCGGCCATGGGTAAGAAGTTGCCCAGCTTGTGCAGATGGAGAAGAACGGGCTATGGAGACATGGAAAGCACTCGGCATGAGCCTTCTTGAGTTCGAGATGCCTATTTGTTGCCTGACGGGGGAAGTCAAGTGGACACGCACATGTTGGAGTCTAAAGCTCGGGGGGAGACACCTGGCTGGGACAAGAACCCTAGAGTCATGGGCATTCAGATGGCATTCGGAGCCCTGAGACTGAACCAGAGGCCCAGGGAGGGGATTTAGAGAGAGGGTGGAGGCCTGGGACACAGGCAGGCAGAGGCCTGGCAGGACCGGAGTTCGCTGTGGGCAGGAAGGTAGAGCATCCTGCTTCCTCCTGGTTGTGGAAGTCTACTTCGTGGACTGAGAGAGATGGTCCTGATGCCATCAGTTCCCTTCCTCATGTCTCAGTTTCTCCACCAGCAAATTGAAAGACGTAGGAACTGGATTCAGACTTGTTTTGAAAAGATGGCTTGCAAAGAGGACATTCCTTGGCCTGGGGCTGCCTCTCCTTCTAGGTCTTGACAGGCCTAGTCTGGCCATGGCTGTGGGATGCCCCAGAAATGATTGTCCACAGCCATTGACCCCTGCTCAAGATCAATATCTGGGGGTCTGGGGCCCAGGCGAGGCATTAGAGGTCACACTGCACAACAGGAGAGGGTCATATTCCAGGCGTCAGAAAGGACCAGCCAAAGCAAGAAATGGACAGCGAAGAGAGAGAAAGGACAAAGGACAAGTGAGATGGAAGAAAGGAAGAGAGGAACAGAGGACCAAGGTAACCAGAAAGAGGACAAGGAAGAGGAAGTGGCCAAGGCAGAGTGGCAGTACCTGGGTGAGTGACAGCACAGGGACACCAGGCCCTTTCTGGAGGAGAGTGTGGTTGAAGGGGCAGCGCCCTGCACCCAAGTAGCCCCCTGAGAACACCAGCCATGAGTCCAAGTGGGCCCCTGTAGACCACAGCAGCCACCCCAGAGGGAAGCAAGGGGTGTGCTGGGTACGGCGGTGGCAGTGGTGACGAGAGGCCTGGAAGGGACAGGGGCTTGAGAGAGGCTCCTGGAGGAGCTGGGGCTTGATGGATCCTGGAGGATCTTCACAGATGGAAAGAGGGAGGGCAAAGGTGAGCCAGGTATCAGGAACAGTGGGAATGACAGGAGCAGAGAGCCAGGGGCAGGAGCATCCCTGGCACATTTCATGAGGGTGCATGGAGGGCACAGCTGAAGCATAGGGGGTGGGTGTCGATGTGCCTTGAGAAACTGAGTCTCCAGAGAGATGTGGGAGGACAGCTTGCTGCCAGAATCGGACTTCAGAGGGAGAAAAGCAAACAAACAGGACAGCCAGCACTGGGACCAACCTCAAAGGGCCCCTCTCCTTCCCAGATGCCTCACCATCACCGTCACCATAAGCCCTTACGGAGCATTCTGGGCGAGCCTGCCACGTCCAAACCACTCCCTCTGTAAACAACAGCGAAAATCCTCCCAAGGATCCTGCCCAGTAGACGTCATTATTTATTTTTGACACTATTATTTTAATCATCATTTTGTAAATATGGATACTGAGGCTAACTTGCCCATGGTCAACAAACTGGGGAGTCTGGCTGCCTCCCTTCCTCACCCTCAACCCTCAGAGGAGAGTGGAACACTCTCTCTCTCTCTCTCTCTCTCTCTCTCTCCTCTCTCTCTCTCAGCACTACAATTCTGACAACTAAATAAAATATCTCCATCTAGTGGTGACTTGGCCTAAGGGCAGACACTCAATCCCAAAGGCCCATAGAGAGAGGCTACATTCCTCAGCGACCCTCAGTTGAGCACCTACCATGCACCAGCATTTGTTCTGCACACTGGGGATGCTGTGCAGACAAGACAGGCAAAGCGCCGGCCTCACAGAGCTCACACTCCACTGAGGGAAGACAGACACATGCAAGCAGACCCATAAGAGGTGTACGGGTTGTGCAAGGCACAGGGAATGAAATAAACTGGATGTGTGGAAGAGTGGCTGGAGGGAGCCCTAGATCAGGGGTCCAGGAGGGCCTCTCTGAGGAGGGGAAATCTCACCGAGACCCAAAGGAGATGATGGATCCAAGTCACCTGAAGATCCTGGAGGGAAGTGTTTTAGACAGAACGGTGAGAGCAAAGGCCCCGGGACAAGACCAAAGCAGGCATGTGATAGGCCAGCGTGCCTGGAGCAGAGCGAAGGACAGCGGGGACGGAGAGGTTGGCGCGGGCCGGATCACGCCTGGCGAGGATGTGGATGTCTTCCCCCAACACTGGGAAACTGCACTGGGGCTTAGGTGGGAGAGAGGACCCCATCCAGGTGACAGTTTAGGAAGGCCCCTGTGCGTTTCCTCCTGTTAGAGAGGAGAGCTGGAGGGGACAGGGATTGGGGGTAGCGGCCAAGAAGGTGGAGGGAAGGAGGTGGAGCAGGAATGGGGGTAGCGGCCAAGAAGGTGGAGGGAAGGAGGCGGAGCCGGAAGTATTTTAAACAGAGGCATCAGTGGCGCTTGCTGTGGACTGGATGTGCAAAGTGGATGGATGTGCAAAGTGGAAGGCGGGGAGGAACCCAGGCTGCTGCTCACTTTCTGGCTCGAGTAGGAGGTGGTGCGGTTTGCGAGCCGGGAGCGTGGGTGAAGGACAGGCCGGTGGGTGGAGGGAGCGCTGCATCAAGTGTTGCCTCTGAACGCCTGAAGTTGGAGATGCCGGACACGTCCACGCGAGATGTCAAGCAAGCAGCTGAACTGTGAGGTGAGCTCTGAGAAGTGGGTCCCGTGTAGTTGGCCTGCAGGCCGGCTCAGGGCACCCCTCCCCAGTGTGGTCTAGCCTCCCCACCCCTGCCCCCTCTCCCGTTTCCTCCCTGCTTCTCTTCACTCTAGTCCTTGTGGCATGTCCAGGTGTGACCGGGGACACAGGAGACGGACCCTCAAATTCCTCCCTCTCTGTTCAACCCTTGACCCCCTTGCAACAAGCCCCTGTTTTCCCTGACCTTAGAACCAAGAGGAGCCCCCAGTGACCCTTTTCTCTCTGCAGGCAAGTGTGCCCTGGGTCCCAGCGTCAGCTGCCTCTGTGGGCTGCGGGCATGTGAGTGTGACAAGCAATCTGCGTACTGCTTCAGAGAGAGCCTGCCCACCTACGAGAAAAACTTCAAGCAGCTCTTCTCCAGCCGGCCCCGCTGCGGCAGGAGGAAGCTCCAGTGCTAGGCAGCCGCCGGCCCCCCTGTGGGTCACCTGTCCCTTCCGGAAGCCTTCTCACGCCATCCCCAACAGCTCCATTTCTGCAGTCACCCTTCAGCACCTGGCCTAGGGTGCTCCCAACCAGAGGGCTGCCGATCAGCAATAGAAAAGATAAAATCCTGGCACGCCGTGGAGGGAGACAGCCCCTACTCATAGACACAAATAAATAACACCTTCTGAAAGTCGTTAAGTGCTAAGAAGCAATGTAACAGGTGACAGGAGAGAAAGATGTTCCCAACCCCCATCCAGGAATTTCCAGGAGGTGGAAGGGGACCCAGGATCTACCCTAAACTCTCCCTCCACTCCTACCCCAAAATCAGGATGCAGGGTGGACTTGGGGACTGGGCACACAACCCACCTCCAGCTGGGGGCAGAGCAGGGATCCTGCAAAACATGGTCTTTGCACACAGCTGAGGATCCGAGAGGTGCACTGGGATTTCGTTTTTCCTCTGTTCGGGTTCTTGTTCTCTGATGTCCCTCAGGTAGGAAAAATTAATGCCATTTTCATCTGGACACAACATGAGGATATCCACAGCCACCACTGCCATGTGAGTGTCACGACCAGGACGTTGTCAAAGGGATGGAGAAAGAGGGCCTGGGAGGGAGTGTCAGAGATTCCCGAAATTTCCATCCAAATCCAGAAGCCCCTGGTGATATCAGACTTAGATTCTAACGAACACCGAAGTGACCTGACCTGAGCGGAATCTGTTGTTTATAATGCCCAACTGGTATGGCAGGTTGCAAAATTGGCCACAAGTGTCCTTACCTCTCTTATCCTTGCCTCTCGTGAAGGGACGCTCAGCTCTGCCCATCAAGAAGTCGAGTCTATTTTTCCCAGTTGGAATCTGAACTCCACGCCGGCCTTGTGAATGACATCGGCCAATAGAATGTCGTGGAACCTATGGACGGTCTACCAGTTTCCCAGCCTAGGCCTCTGGAGGCCTGGTGCTCTCTCTCAGGACGCTGAGCTCAGCCGAGAAAAAGCCTGGGCGGACCCCCTGGCGGATGGGAGCCAGAGTCCATCAGCCCTGCTGTGTCTACTCAGACCTCAGACATATGAGAGCGCTCAGCAAAGATCAGCAAAGCCCACGCATTGCAGACGGTGACCCACGAGAGAAGCTAGCTGGAACTGGAACAACTGTGTGCCCGGCTCAGCCCAGGCTAAGTTGCCAATTGCAGAACTGTGAGCCCAATAAAGGCTGACATTTGAAGTCACTAAGTTGTAGTGTGGCCTGTTACACTGCATAGCTCACTGATGTAACTGGTCTTCATTCATGGAGACTCCTGGGTTCTCAGCCCTGTGCTGCAGCTTGAGGACACAAAATATTGTGGACGTGGCCCCTGCCCTGAACCTTGCAGGTCTGGGAGGAGAAAGGCCACCTTCGTATGATAAGGGAAAACACGCAGAGGGCTGTAATGACACGGTCATCCGACAAACATGTCGTGAGCCCCCCACTAAGCGTCGGGCACGGTGTAGGGCATCAGGGATTCAGAGGTTTTAGGAAAACAAATAAAATCAGGTCTAAAAATGCTGGGGAGAGCTTCAAGAGCTGTAGCAGCCTTTAGAAGTTCAAGTTCAGCCACTTAAAATCTGGATTGAGTGATGCTGTCACTCATGTGAAGAGACAGTAAGGGAAGCCAGGGCCGGGTGGTCAGCAGAGGGTCTGGGAGCCGGGGCTCTGGGCTCTGCCTCTCTCAGCTGGCAAGGTCGAGTGGTAAACTCATCTGCCCTTCCTTCTCCCTCCCTCCCTCCCTCCCTCCCTCCCGCTCTCTCCTCCTTCTCTTCCTTCCTTCTTTATTTCCTTCCTTCCCTACCCGCATGTGCTTTATTAATTACAACTACAGAAGAGGAGCTTGAGGTTGGTGGGCATCCATGGCAATAGTCGTAAAGGTCTGAGGTAGGCGGTTGCAGAAAAGCAGGTGTGGAATTAGTGTGGTTGGGTCCAAGCCAGGCCCCTCCACTCCTAGGGGGGGTTCTGACCACAGCAGAGGCCAGCTCAGGACTCTGGGCATATCTGGCATCTGCCACAGAGGAGACAGAGGGCCGGGCCTGTGCCCAGTAGGGGAAACAGAGGCTCCAGTGAGAGATCCAGGCCACCTTCCTCTCCCTGGGTCTCAACCCCTGATGTGTATGTTAGAGGGAATGGGCCGGTGCTGGCATCCAAACCCCACTCGGTTCTGAGAGCTGGAATTGCAGAGGGATGTCGTTGACTTTTGCTGAGAAATCTGCTCTCCTGGAAGGACAGCCATTCACCCATCAACAAGTAAACCCTCAGGGCCTACTCCAAGCCAGGCCCTGTGCTAAGAGCAGAGAAATAAAGATGCATCAGACTCCAAGTAGCTCGCAGATCAGGGGAACACAAGTCAACAGACCATGATACTACTGCAGGCTGCAGAATGTTGGAACGGGGTCAGCGTGGGGAGCAATGACCGCCACTCAGGAGGGCCAGGCCTGGCTTCCCGGGGGGAGTGCTGGGGGTCTGACATCTCATCGGGGGACTCAGGGTGGCCAAGTAGGGGGGTGCAGAGCCTCCCTGGGGAGAAGGATGGAAGGTAATTCAATATGAATCCCTGCCACCTGCCCCTCCCCATCTCAGCTGAGGGGCCCGCCTCCATCTTTGCCCCCCCCCAGGCCAAAAATCTGCATGTCAAATTCTTTCTCTCATATCTCACATCCCACATCCAATCTGTTGGCACTCCTTTCAAAATAAAACTAGATTCTGTATGTATTTATAAAATACTTAGTAAAAGGCACACATTAAAAAAATAAAATGAGAGAGGAAACATCTCGAATCTGACCACTTCTCACCACCTTCGTGGCTGCCACGACGGTTGGAGTCGCCATCACCTGGGCCCAATCACCTGGGCACCTGCTCTTCTCGTTCTCTCCGCCCCCACCCCCGGGCCTCTGCAATCTCTTCTCCACGCAGCAGCTGGTCAGCAAGCACAGTGCCTGGCGTCTGACCAGGTCCCCGCTCTACTCCCGTCCTCCACTGGCTCCCCTTCTCCCTCTAAGAGCCAACGTCCTCCCAGGGTCCAAGAGGTCCCCATTGGCCCCCACTTCTGGACTCGCCTCCTCTGCTCTCTCCCCACACCACCTCGGCTACTCTAGCCTCCATGCTGGTCCTTGAGCACCCCGGGCACGCTCCCTTTGGAGGACCTGTCCCCAACTGGCTGTTCCCTCTGCCTGGAAGGGGCTTTGCCCACGGCTCACTCCCTATCTCCTCCAGCTTTGCTGCCATCTCACCTCCCTCGTGAAGCTGATGCCGACCACCCTATTTGATACTGCCCCCCACCCTCCGGCCTGTGCCTTCTCCCTTGTCCTGCCCCTTCCAGTTCTGTTCCCTGCAGCTCAGCGCACCTGTACTCATGGTCCGTCTACCCCGCGGGAGTGTAAGCTCATGAGGGCAAGAGCCTCTGCCCATCGCTGACGTGGATGTTGAATGACAAGTGGCCAAGAGAACATGGACTGTGACAGGATCACAAGTAGCTCCCAGTGGGGAGCGTGGAATGTGGGGAGTGGTTTTCCAGAACCAACAGAAGTGAGGAGGTGGGCAGGGCTGGGTTGAGGAGAGCCTTGCGGTCCCCCTGAGGAGCCTGGGCCTGATCCTGGGAGCAGTGGGGGTCCCCCGCCCTCATTCTCTGCAACACAACCACTTTCCACCTGTGTGCACTTGGGGACTCAGGCGCCTGGAGCCAGTGTCCTCGGAGGCACGTGGTAACAGGGAGGATGAGCGTGAAGGCGGCGGGTCTCCCTCACACTCATTCCTTCACCCCTTCACCGCTTGGCACTGAGGGGTGAGCCCCCCGCCTTGGGGGAGACAGCCTTGCAGCGAACGTGGATGTATTTTCACAGTAGCCCCCTGTGGATGGGCTGTTTCTCGAGTCTGGAGGAGCCATCAGCCAGCGAGGGGGTGGGGCATTGGGGCACCGTCCACCCCGGGCAGGGGCCGGGCTCAGCGCCCCACGGCGGAGACGCTGGCTGCGCGCGTGGGGGCCGAGTCTGCAGAGTCACGGTCCCGTTCCCACTCCCGGGGTGTCTGTGAAGCTGTGAAAGGCGCAGGGATGAGCAGATGTGGGGAGCGCAGCATATGGCATATGGCAGCGGGGGCCGGCTGTGGGTCTGGGAGGCGGGCGCGGGCTGGGGCGTGGTGGGGAGTGAGGTGACTGGGTTTCTGGGTCAGTGAGGGCCTGGCCTGGTGGCTCCTGTGAAGGGTCAGGCATGACTGAGCCCACTGGCAAGTGTGGAATCCCATCCAGATGGGAGAACAAAGTGGGCGCATGGCCCAGGCCCCGAGTCCCTGAGTGAGGAGACAGGGAGCCCACATGCCCCCCAAGGAGCCCCCAGGGGCTGAGCGCTCATCTTGTCCAGACACAGTGCTACCTTCGAACACAGAATACCTGACTCATCCCTGGGCAGGTGTCAAGAGCTCCACACGGTTAACACATCCAGAGCAGGGGACTTGAGCCCAGTGTTGCCAGCCTCTGCCCCATGTACCCCATCCTGGGGAGTCTTGGTGGGGAGGGGGCAGTGACCAAGGAAGTTACTCCAGGGGGTTAAACACTGGCCCTGGAGGGAGGCCTGGGCTCTGGTTCTGGCTAAGCTGCTAACCCGTTGTGTAGTTTCGTTCATCCATCACACGAACACTCGGTGTGGTGAGATTGGGCTGAGCACAATGGATTCAGGGGAGTAGGAGGGGTCCCCCCTCAACCTGAGCCCCCCGGCCCAGGTGGGGACACACAGGTGACAACAGGAGAGTGAGGAATGGGGAAGGAGGGTGCAGATGCAGGCACTGGGGGCACCGCATCCGGGTCTGCTGGTCAGCAAAGCCTTTGGACCCACCTGGAGGATAAGTGGGAGTTAGCCAGGCACGGCAGAGAGGAGGGGCCTGTGCTGGGGCGGAGGCCAGGAGGGAGGCTGGGGTCAGACAGGAGCAGAGATGAGTGCAGAGCAGGGGTGAAGCTAGAGGGGGTGGCAAATGGTGAGGCTTGAGAGAGAAAGCCCAGGTCTTGGGGGGAAGGCAGCTAGAGGAAGGATGACTTCACACAAGCCCCTCTTCTTTCTGGGCCTGGGGGACCCAGGGACCAGGGTTTTCATGGGACCAAAAACTTAGTATTTGTGCCCATCTGACCGTTCTCTTTCCCAAATCCATTGTCTTATTCATCATCGGAGGGATCCCAGGAATTATCCATCCTCATTTCACAGATGAAAATAGAAGGTGCAGGGGGGCAGGTAGACTGGAGTTGGAACCTGTGCTTTCCGATGACGCAAATCTCGTTTCCCAACCCCTTTCTCCAGAGGAGGAGGCTGGACTGAAGCTAAGGCTCTGGAGTCAGCCTTCAAACCTGGCTTCTGCTGCATGACCTCGAACTTCTCTGGGCCTCCGTTTGCTCCTTTGAGAAATAGAGCTGTGACGAGCCCGCACCTGGCAGGGTCGCTAAGAGGATCGAATGACACGGCATGCACAAAGCTCTGAGCACATGGGCTTGGCATACAGTAAGCGCTTAATAAACCCCACTCTCCTTACAGGGCCCTGAGAGCCTGAGAGCCTGGCCAGCTTGCCCAGGCAGAGCGTGGGTATTCCAGCTGGGTTGCTGTTGGCAGGGCCCAGCGCCCGCGTGCCGGGCACCCCTGCCTCCCGGACTGTGCTTGTCACAGTTGGTGGTGTCAGCTGCTCGTTAGGAAGCCACTACTGGGTAGCTGACAGCCAGCGTTGCCGTTGCCGTGCCAACCCCTGGGGAGGAGAGGACCTCCTCTCCGGCTCATGGTCCAGTCCTGAACAAGAGGGGGGGTGGCTCTCAGGCCCAGCTGAGTGAGATCAAGGCTGGGCAGGTGCCAGGTGCCCCGCTGTGGGTTTGGGGCCACGGGTGCTCCCCAGAACCTTCCCACTGCCTCTCTCCCCTCCTCCTTCTCTGCCTCTCTCCCTCTCCCCCTCATACCCATATGCACGGAGCCAGATTTTCTTGCTAAACCACGGCTTTGCTTCTGCCAGGTTTCCATTTTGGGGAGAATGTCCCCATGAATGTTCCATAGCTCCCTCTTCCTTCTACTTACTGCATTCTGCCAATCTGGCCCTGGGGACCTTTGGTCTGAAATGCCAGCCAA